AGAACCACGCGGTTCCGCCCGCTCAGGCCGCAGCTCGCCCGGCTCCAGCAGCATCACCCACTCGCCCCCTCCCCCGGAACCCAGAGGTGAGCGGGGAGGGGGAGCTCGCCCCAAATCTACTGGGTAGGGTGGGGAGTCTCCGGGGTTTGGTCTTTTTTTGCGGGGCAAGGTATGTTTGGACCTTGTAGGACCCCAGTGCCCTTTGCGGAGGTCCCACGTGGCGATCGCCCGGTATCGGTGGGCAGAGGGGCGATAGCGGATTTGAGGATCCCCGGAGGAGCCGGGGGGGAACGCGAGAGCCCCGGAGCGGGGAGAGCACAGAGGGGCGATCCCGGAGCCAGGAAAGCCCTACAGCCTGCAGGGGTGGGGGAGGCTGGGATGAGCAGGGTCTGGGCTCCCCTGAGGACTGAAAGGGCCGGTGACTTCTCCAGCTGGACTTCGGCAGCGGCATCATCAAACGCATGGCCTCAGCCCTTCTTTCCCTCCAAACCAGGATTTCCCATTCCCAAACCTTGGCCCGATGGAGGTGGAGGCAGCTGTGAGGAAGAGGAAGATGCCCCAGGACACCCAGGCAGGTGAGGAGGAAGTCACTGCCCCTTTCCCCCTCTCTCCTGCTCCATCTCCCAGCCCAGCATGGCCCCCGCCTGCAGGACAACCCCGCTGCCGACGCCGTCCTGCTGGGGACGCACTGGGGGGATCACCTTCCCCTTCCCTCTGGCACGGAGGCAAATCCCATCCTCTCCTTGTCCCTCTTCCCCCAGACAAGGAGCTGAGGATGGAGACCAGGGAGGACAAATCCCCACAGCAGAACCTCGTGGAAGAGGCTGTTTTGAGTGTCTCCACAGCCCAGGAATCCAACGGGGAGGAAAAGCCACGGAGATCCTGGACGAGGAGGGGCTGCAAACGCAGATCACAGGGATCCAAGGGGATAAGAGCCACCTTGGGCCGGAGAGGCGGCCGGAGCGCAGAGCTGGGGTTCCATGAGCAGCTTCACAATGGAGAGAAGTCCTACAAGTGCTCAAAATGTGGGAAGAGCTTAAGCCAGAGATCCTCTCTGATCCGCCACCAGATAATCCACACCAGGGAGAGGCCCTATGAGTGTGAGAAATGCAGGAAGAGGTTTCATAACAGATCCACTCTCCTCAGGCATCAGCGGATTCACACGGATGAGAGGCCCTTCTGCTGCCCCGACTGTGGGAAGGGCTTCAAGCACAGCTCCACCCTCGTCAATCACCGACGCATCCACACCAGGGAGAGGCCCTATGAGTGTGGGGAGTGTGGGATGAGCTTCACCCAGAGCTCCACCCTGACTGCCCACCAGAGGATCCACACAGGGGAACGGCCCTATGAGTGTGGGCAGTGTAAGAAGAGCTTCAGACGGAGCTGCCACCTGATCCACCACATGGGAGTCAATTGCTGTGTAAAAACGCTCGCTCACGGTGAGAGACTTCTCCTGGGTCAAGCTGTTCAAGTATAAGCAATTTATTATAAGGGTAAAAAGAGGGGAGACCCGTGTCTGCCACCAGCCTCGGCGTCCACGTGGTCAGGGGGAGGAGGGAGAGAGCACAGGTAGAGCAGGGGAGGAGAGGTTGGAAAAGGGGAGGGAGGGCGTAAGAGAGTGAGGCTCTTTTTACAATCCAATATATGCTTTCCTGTAGTGAATATTCTAATTCTTAGTAACCAATCACCATGAGACACACCCCCTAAAGAATTTACATACAGCCTATGCGCTTCCATATATTAACATACAGTGGTGCATTTTAGACTCTACAAAGCTTTACAAGTTCTTTCCTTGCTCCTTTACCTTTGGACTTTCTGTCAGCAGAAGGACATTGTTTTATCAGCAGGGATTCTCCCCTAGCTGACTAGGCTATTGTTCTTTGGTCATATAGTAACCAGTACTCTGTATCTTATGACTCAAAGCAGGCTTTCATTTCTATCTTGATTCTAGGCCTCATACTTTCAGAATCTTCTGTTAAACAATCATATTCACAAGGTTTCCCTGTTTCATCCTCCCCAACAGGAGTCCACACAGGGAAACGGCCCTATGAGTGTTGGGAGTGTGGGAAGAGCTTCAGGAGGAGCTCCGAACTGATCATTCACCAGAGGAGCCACACAGGAGAGCGGCCTTACGAGTGTGATAAATGCAGGAAGAGGTTTCACAGCACTTCCCATCTCCTCCTGCACCAGCGGATTCACACAGACGAGAGGCCCTTCCGCTGCCCTGACTGCAGGAAGGGCTTCAGGCAAAACTCCACCCTCATCAGGCACCGGTGCATCCACACTGGGGAGAGGCCCTACGTGTGTCCCGAGTGTGGGAAGAGCTTCTCCAGGAGCTCAAACTTGACCCAACACCAATGGAGGCTCCACAGAGGTGCAAGTGCCCCGGGGGTGGGAAGAGCATCATGTGCTGCACCAGCTCCATCCCTCGTGGGAGGATCTGCATTGGATGATCCCCAGTGACCCCCAGTGGGCAGGGCCCCAGTGATCTGTGCGGGGAAGACACCTGGCTGGGGGACTCCACTTCCTCCTGGATCTCTGTGGGCACCTGGACACATCCACAGACCAACATCAGAAATCCATTGTGGACAGCAGATTTGTTGACTTCTGACCCCAAAACTCACTTTTTGCATCCTCTGTAAAGTGGTGACATCAAGCATCAAGCAACACTGGATGGCCTTGGCCTGCTCCAACATAAATCCATCCTTTAAATTCCCTCTGGCCCACGGGCATCTTCCACAGCCAAATGGGGATGGATTGGGGAAAAACTCACAATTTTGGAGACAGTGGGGTGAAAACCCTTCCAAAAATGGTTCTTCCCACCCACCCAAGCATGTGGATGCTCTGCCAGCAGGGACACCTAAATCTTTTTGTTTTGGCCTTGAAAGGAAAAGGTTTCTGTTCATCCCTTTGAAAGCCCTGAAACAGGGGTAAAAATAAAGATGTTGAGCTAAGGCATGGGTGGGGCCATGGGGGGATAATGACATGGGGAACATGACTAGGGATGGGGACATGGACATGGATGGGGACTTGGCCATGGATGGGGACCTGGGGGGACACAGGCCTGGGAAAGGACACAAGGGGACGTGGACATGGGGAACATGGATGGGGACATGAACTGGGGCAGCATCAATGCCACCACCTGTGTTACCAGCACCTTCATCTTGGCCATGGGGAACCACTGCCCAATGCAGTTCCTGCCACCACATCCCCACTTCTATCATCACAGTGTCCCAGCTGAATGTCACACTCACCAGGGCAGGACGGGGAACTTGTTCAGCTGGTGACAAGTGGGCCAGACGTGAGTGACAGCCACCAGGGTGTCCCAGGGCCACTGAGCTCAGGGGACCCCAGCCACCCCTGGGGATAGGGCAAGGGTCAGTGTCACCCGCAGGGTTGCGTGGCCCTGCACGGGGCATCACCAGAGGTGGTGTGGTGGCAGTGTCCCCACAGATGGGGCAACATTGACCCCTGATGTGTGTCCTGGTGGCATCGCGTCCCCTCCCTATCCCCACCTCCAGCTGTGGCTCCATGTCAGCCATCTGTGTGTCCCTGTATCCCTGTCCCCCACCCCTGGCAGGGCCAAGGTCTCCGAAGTCCCAGGCCCATGTCCTGCAGGGTGTCCTTGTGTCCTACAGCGTGTTGCCATGTCCCTCAGGATGTTCCCATGGCTGCTCCTGGTGCTGAGCATCTACAGCCACCCCAGCACCCATTGTCCTCTGATTTTGGGTCCTTCCTCTCCCATTTTGGGTCCTTTCCCCCTCTTTAGGATCCTTTCTCCCTCTTTTGGGACCCTTCTCCCTATTTTGGGTCCTTTCTCCCTATTTGGATACTTTCTCCCTATTTTGGGTCCATCCCCCCCTTTTGGATTCTTTCCCCCATAATTGGATGTTTTCCCTCTTTTCAATCCTTTCCCCCAATTTTGGGCACCCTCCCCTTGACTTTAATATATTTTTGGGTGCATCCCCCCAATCCAACTCCCTCTTCACCCCTTAACCCCCCTCACCCCCACCCCCTGTCCCCTCAGGCATGTGGCCAGCTGTGTCACAACTGTCCGCCTGTGCCACATGGACTCTGTGCTTGCCATCCTTGATGCCCTTGAGTCCCTGGTCCAGGACTGTGGATGTCCTCTTCCAGGAGCTCCAGAGCTGGGCTGGCTTCCAGGGGACACCAGTAGCCCCAGGGCTCAGGGTGGGTGTCCTGGTGGGGTTGGTGGGAGGGGGTTTGGGGTCATCTTGGCACTGACCATGAGTCTTGTCCACTCTGCAGTGGGGAGCAGCCCCAGCTGGGGAGCTTGGGATGGGTGGGGCAGGAGAGGTTGGACACTGGTCCAGATGGACACCAGAGCCATGGGTCCCAGCTGGACACTGGAATGAATGGCCCTGCAGCCCCCAGCCCACATGACCACCAGCCTGGACATACCCTGGTGCATCCCACTGGCCCACCAGCCCATCCCAGTAGCCCCAGTCCCAAAATCCCACAAAATAAACCCAATTCCAGAACACTGGCTCCAGGTGGTTCCTGCAGAGCGAGGGGGAAACTGAGGCATGGTCTGGGGGGGTGACTTTACTGTGATGGGAGGAGACTTTGTGAGCCACCCTGGAGACACCAAAATGAGCAACCACCCCCCAAACTGTCACCACAGAATCCCAAGCCCCCCAGCTGTCACACTGGGAGGGCTCCAGGAGCCACCACAACCCTGTAGTCCCTTTGAGGGGTGACCCAAGGTGTCCCCTCAGTGTCACCAGCACGTCCCCAGCAGGATGAGTGACATCACCTCCTGGTGAAAAAGGAGGAGGAGGAGGTGAGGGTGTGACTGAAACCCCTGCCCGGTGTAAGAGACAGCCCAAAGTTTCTCTCCTCTGCCTCACAACCGTTGCAAAAACAGACTAAGACCCTGAAGACCCCAAGGGATTTTGTGCAGGGGTTCTGGCCTGGCTGAGGTCAATGCTTGCCAGGTGATTGTTTGCAGGTGTGCATGTTGTGCTGCCACGGTACACTGCCTTCATTCCCGCTGCTGAGCAGGGACTTGTACGGAGCGGCCTGTTCTGTACCTTACACCTGCTTCCCAGAGCAAGGGGTCTCATCACAATAGCCTGGGAATCTCCCCACCTCTTGGCCAGCTGCCTATCGCTTTGAAACAGACTATAAAAGTGACTTTTATAAGTTATTTTCTTGGAAAGAGATCTCCCCCTGGAAGAAGACACTGGTGACCCCATCTCACCCATTGCTAGCTGTAACCTCCCCTTTTTCTCTCTTTTCACTTTGCCTCTTTATCCCTCTCTCCCTCTCTCTCTCTCTCTTTTTCTCTCCCTCTCATCTATCGCATAACCCATGTTGCTGGCACTAAAATAAAGGTGCATTATTGCTGTTGTGATTTAAACTGAAATCCCTTGTGTCCTTTTTGCACTCTGAAATCAAACAAACCTCTCACGACTCCCACTGGCGTTAGCGAATCGTGACATCTAAATTGGAGTCACGGACAGGATTTCTGACAGACAGAAGGGGCTGCAGGTTTGTTGTGCAGTCTGTATTAGGGGAAAGACGTTTTGCTCCAGCCACACCCAGCCCGACACTCCCAAAAGAGTGAGCGGTGTCTAGAAAGCAAGGGGGGCGACTCGAATGATGTGGTTAGATAGGGAAAGCCGATTGGAAGATCTCGCGTTGTACGGGAAGATAGGGCCCCTCTTTCTCCAAAGTTCTATAACCCATAATATCACGGTGGTGACGTAATCATAACTCGGTCATATAAAACCTTGCACACCGGCAATAAATGCTCTTCACCATCCACCACATTGGTGTTCGCGTGTGATTAGCCCGACAGGCCTGTAAGGTTAGCCGTTGTATCACTCACGAACCGGGTCACTACACCTCATCTGAGGCAACACTCGAATTTCCCGCAAACTGCACATGCTGAGGTGAAAAGCATCCCACACTCACCTGAGGGCTCTGTCTGCAGAATTTCACAAAAGATCTCTTAGTGCAAAAGGGCGGGACTGTTTTTGTTGTTGTTGTGTGTATGAATTTTGACTGCTTGGTTTAGGGAGCCTCCCAAGCAGATCTGGTCATTTTACCCACACAGAGAAGCAAAGGGTGACGCGTCGAAAAGCTGCGTGTGTGCGTAATTTAAGCTTCTACCTCCCTGAAGTGGTTTTCCTTTCATAAATTGTTTTGTGTTTTAAATTTTGACTGCTTGGTGTAGTGAAGAGACACCCAGAATTTCAAAATGAAAGAGTACCCTCCCAAGCAGATTTGGTCTCTTCACCCACACAGGGAAGCAAAGGGCAATGTGGCAAAGGCTGCATTTGTGTGTAACTTAAGTTTTTACCGCCCTGTAGTGGTTTTCCCTCCGTAAAAATGACTGAAAATTGCACTGCAGAAGTTAAAGCTGCATTTTATGCTCTGTTAGCAAAACATAATGCCAGACCTTCTCCGGGAGGGAAAGAGTGGGCTCCTAGTAATTGGATTAATTTGGAAAATGTAATTGATAGAGTTCTTTACAACATGAAATAAAATTTAAACTGGGCAAAAATAAAACTGTACTTTGTTCAGTTTTGGGAGCTTGTCTTACAGCAGCTATAGAAACTCCCTTCAAGCAAAGAAGTGAGGAAAGAACTACAATAGACTCCCTCTAAAACCTAGTTGAAATTTTGCAAAAACAATTAGATGAAGAAAGGAATGAGAACCATTTGTTGTGAGTGGCCCTAAGAAAGGAACGTGTTAAAAATTCAAAATGTGCTGACTCACCAAAAGAAACACAGAAGGAGGGAACCCCTTTCATTAATCAAATTTACCCTCAAAAAGAGCTAACTCTGAAGAAAAATTGTGGAGAACACTGCTGTCCTAGTTTGAAACCTCTAATTAAAACAGGTTATAATCATATCAATGATGAAGATCTTGATCTGCATATAACCACTAAAGAAATCCCATACACTGCTACTGAATTGGCTAAGTTAAAAAAGGAGTATGGGTGTCTCAATCACGAGTCAGAGACAGAATACGTATTCCAAGTGTCTCTCACATGGGGAGATCAAATTCGATTAACAGAACAAGAACTAGTGGGAGATACCCAACAAAAAATAATCTCCCATTTAGAAATTCTTAATTTACAAATTCTCCCAGAGAAAATTCAAAAGCCTTCTCAGAAAGTGAAGTTTTTGGGAATTTGGTGGAAAGGAGGACATGTATTCCACCTGATGCCCTAACATCCTTAGATCAGATTAAAATGCCTGAATCCAGGAAAGATCTCCAACAAGCTCTAGGATTATTAGTGTCTTGGAGAAAACACATTCCAGATTTTTCAATTGCCAGGCCTCTTTATGACTTGCTGAGGAAAGGGGTGAAATGGGATTGGACTCCTTCTCAGGAGGAAGCATTGCAATTGATGGTTTTTGAAGCAGCAGCTCATCAAGCCCTGGGCCCCATTTATCCCACAGATCCTTTCCAAGTAGAATGGGGATTTGCCTCCTCAGGGTCATCAGTACACAGACGGCAATGGGGCCCAGAAGGCCCTACAAGGCCTGTTTGTTTTTATTCCCATGGCTTTAAAGATGCTAAAGAAAGGTACACTACCTGGGAAAAGGGATTGTTTGTAGTCAGTCTAGCTCTCACTGAAGCAGAAAAAATTGCACGACAACAACCAATTGTATTAAGAGGCATGTTGCTCTGGGTTGTGTTGTCTGCAGCCCGGACAGACAGCAGGAAAGAGCTCTCCTCTGCTTTTAGTTAGCTTTTAGCTAGCTCAGGCAGAGAAGTTCCCCAGACTGTTTATTTCCTTTTTTCTTGGATCTGTTCAAACCTGCTCTGGACTGAAAACCCAGAAAAACCCCAGAACCTCATGCCTGTAGCTCACTGGGGGTGGGCTTCGGCACTTTCCAGCACCTACCTTGCAATGAAAATGTAGATCCCCTCCCTCCAAATCATTATAATTTTGAAATCAAGGGGCTCTAAGGTAGAGATCT